ATTTAATACTCCTGCTGCTGCTGCCTCAGTTCAGAACTGACAAGCTTGCCAGAGGGACGGTGTTTCCCCTTCTGTGCTTGGTGTGACTAGTTGCTGATGATTAAAGATCGAATTTAAAGTCAGTTCATTTAATTGAAGCAGAGGTGACCCTGTTTTAAATATCAACTGTCTATTGTGTCCTGCAGGCATCAAAAGCATAACCTGCTGGTGAAAGATTCACCTATCCTAATTACTAGCACTGTGTGGATCATTGCCGTTATTCCAGAGATGGGCTGGCCCTAGACCATACAGAAAGCGTACTAGCCTGTGTGGTTAACAGCCTGAGCTCCAAAGGGACTTCGCAAAACTGGGTGACCGGACAACAAAATGGCAGATGAAATTCAGTGTTGATAAATGCAAAGTAATGCACATTGGAAAACATAATCCCAACTATACATATAACATGATGGGGTTCTAAATTAGCTGTTACCACTCGGGAAAGAGATCTTGGAGTAACTATGGATACTTCTCTGAAAACATCCACTCTACGTGCAGCAGCAGTCAAAAAAGCTAACAATGTTGAGAATCATTAAGAAAGGGATAGATAATAAGACATACAGAGGCGATCTGACATTTTCTAAATCCATGGTACGCCCATATCGTGCAATTGTTGTTGCCCTATCTCAAAAAAGATATATTGGAATTAGAAAAGTTTCAGAAAAGGGCAACAAAAATTATTAGGGGTATGGAACAGCTTCTGTATGAGGAGATATTAATAAGACTGAGAAAAGAGGCCACTAAAGGGGGGTATGATAGAGGTCTACAAAATCATAACTGGTGTGGAGAAAGTAAATAGGGAAGTTTATTTACTCTTTTTCATAATACAAGAAGGTAGGGGTCACCAAATGAAATTTATAGGCAGCAGGTTTAAAACAAACACAAGGAAGTAGTTCTTCACACAACACACAGTCAGTCTTTGAAACTCGGCCAGAGGATGTTGTGAAGGCCAAGATTATAACAGGTTTAAAAAAATAACTAGATAAATTCAGGCAGGATAGGGCCATCAATGGCTATTAGCCAGGATGGACAGAGATGGTGTCCCTAGCCTCTGTTTGCCAGAAGCTGGGAATGGGCGACAGGAAGTGGATCACTTGATGATGACCTGTTCTGTTCATTCCCTCTGGGGCACCTGGCATTGGCCACTGTCAGAAGACAGGATACTGGGCTAGGTGGACGTTTGGTCTGACCCAGTGTGGCCATTCTTATGCACTGTTGTGGTTGGGCACGGTTTGGGTTCCGCAAAAGGCAGCTGTTTTTTTTTTTAGAATATTCATTTTCCCCTTGACCTTAGCAGAAGGTGAGGTCTCTCTGCCTTAGAGGCTGAGAGCATGTTGGGGGAGGTATCTCTTAACTAGGAAGGGCAGGTGGTTGAAGAAGAATCCTGGAGTGAGTGTGGGAGGTCCATTTTTGACTGAGGGTGGGAAGCAGGGGAATCTGGTTTGGATTCTTTGGGGTTGAGGAGAATGAACTAGTGCAGAGGACATACATACTTTGTGGCTTGGCTGAGAAGTGCTTTTTCAGGTGGCCACCTTTGGTGGCCATCATAGCAATGTAGCTATGTTAGGGTTGCCAAGAGTGTAAAAAAATGGAGGCTTGTGCTGGAGCTGTGAAAGCTGAGGTGGGTGTCAGTTATGAGAGATTGAGGTCCTTGACTCCTGTGGCTATGGGCAATGGAAAACAGGTAGGAAAACCAATGTCAAATGGAAACCTAGTGAAAGATGTCACCTTGGCTTGTATCTAATATCTCAGGAGGATTGTATTCACTGAGAGCAACAGTCTTTGGTTCATGTTTAATGCAAGGTATCTGGATAAAAAACTTCATCGTCCATCCATTCATGATCTGATAAAACCTCTGACTTCGCTTGTATAAATAAGACCCAGATAAATACCACAGCAGGACAGGTTTTCCTGCAGATTGCCCTGTGAATCCAGTGCAGGATGAGACATAGGAGCATTGTCCACAGTCTGTTATGCCAGTGTTTTTTCACAATGGAGTTGGTCAAACGTCAGGAAATTGGAATATCTCAGTCTGTCGTTGTCTCAAATCACAACACAAAGATGAAATACCAATTTTTTTGCTGAAAGAAAAATCTAGAAAAAATTCAATTTGGATACATGGAAATTTTGTTTTGGCTCAGTCTAAAATTAAACTGTGTCTACTTGAGCTACCACAGTGCCTCATGGGAGCTTATGAACGTGGTGATGACTGGCTCTCTTGTTGCATGTTTGCTGGGTTTTTGATTGGATGAGTGGACAAAGTTCCTCCGTACTGTGGCAAGGGGGCACAGAACCTGTGTAGATGGTGAGCCACTTCAGTCTACTTATGACTTCTTGGTTATAATGATCATGGCATTGGCAGGGGAGTTGCTTACTGAAGCTGCATTTTGGCCCATACCAGACAACAAATTTATAAAAAGAAAAGGAGTACTTGTGGCACCTTAGAGACTAAGAAATTTATTTGAGCATAAGCTTTCGTGAGCTTATGCTCAAATAAATTGGTTAGTCTCTAAGGTGCCACAAGTACTCCTTTTCTTTTTGCGAATACAGACTAACACGGCTGCTACTCTGAAACCTGTCATTATGCAAGAAATTTATAGTTGACCTGAAAAGGAATACAAGTTGAAGTACAATCTTGAGCTTACGCGTGTTGTCCTTTCTGTTCATCCTTTGGTATTTTTTTCTAGTTGCTTTTTTTACAATTAATTTAGCAATTGATTTATAAACTGATTACTACAGCCCACGCTTTACCTACGTTTCCTAAAGTTGGGAGATGAAACATTGTTTTTCATCAGCCTCCGCTAGGATGCTTGAGGACTCTGGTCAAGAGGGTGGTTTGTTTAGATTCTTTGTGTTCTGATCTTAGTATAAATAGAAGGAGTCAGGAAGTTCTACTCTGACCAGCATGTTGACAGCACTGAATTGGGCCCCTACTGACTTGAAAACATGGGATGCATCATTGCCAAATAAGGAGAATCTTAGAATCAAAAGACTGGGATGAAGAAGCCCTTCCTTCTGAAGTTTGCCACAGAGAGCTTTTAGACATTCTCTACAGTCCCAAGATGTAGATGAATGAGTTTTCTGCAGTCCGATTTGTTAGGCAAAGATTCTGCCATCAGTGAGTGGGCCAAAGTATATAGTTTGATGCAATTCCTGCAATCCCAGGTCTATCTCTGAAATTTTAAGTGTGGGGGCAGGGAGAGACGGGCCCATTTGAGTGTGCATCCACGACCGATTGTAGAGATTCTATGAACGCTGTCACCCTGAGATGTAATAGTGGGGATCGGCTGAGGCCTTTGGTGACCCCAAACTAAGGTCTCGGTCAGCTTAATCCACACCCTTCGGTTTGTTGTGTTTGTAGCTATGTTACATGATTCTTTGGGTATATCTACAGTGCTAACGCAAGTAGCAGTAAAGCTGTGGCTGCATGAGCTAGTTGTGCCTACCTAGGACCCTGGGTCCATACTCGAGCTAGCTTTGATCCATTGAGCTCAGGTGTGTTTACATGGCTGCAGTCACACCTCATGATTGCAGCATAGACATACAATTTGTCTTAAAATTTCTATTAGTCTGATGTTTGCAGGAGACGTTGACATTTTGTAAGGCAGCATTATACGATTTAGCACACACTGATCTTTCATAGACTGCCTGATTCTGATTTGACTTTTGCTAGTGTATGTCCACAAAAGTGTCTGGAATTACCAGTATAAACAGCTACTCTTGATTTACACCATTGTGAGACCGAATGAGCCAGCTGCTTTTTTGGTTATTAAAATTGTCATTCAGACTGGAAAAAATAAGCTAGTTGTGTGTGACAATATTCATATTGTCACAATATTTTATATATGTGATCCATAATATACCAGTTAGGTTTCTAAAACTTTACTTAGGCCAGGGATTTGAGGCTTTAGTATGTAAACTACATATTTTGCTCCTAAATTTCTATATTCTTGCAAATTTAAACTCAGTTGCATACTCCTCTGAGTGTTTACCATTATGAGAAGGTTTTTATTTATTTTTCTGTTTACTGGATTTCAGAGTCACAGCCTCCTAACCCTTTCTTTTGTGACTGCTAATTAAATGGTTGCGTTAAAAAAGGAACAAACCACTTGTGTTATGTGAACTTCCTGCTGATGGCAGAAGCCCTGGAGACTTCGGCCTAGATAAGCTGGATGGAAATTTTCCAGTGCAACAGTTTGGTCAGCAAACAGGTTTTCAAAGCTGAATTGTCTGTGAAAATGGGTCTGGTTTTGATGTGATTTAATTAAATCTCAAAGCATTCAGATGGAAACCTGGCTGCTAGGGCCTAGGGCTTCCTGGGTCTGTAGTAGTCTTGCCAAGCTCAGGTTTTCAGGCTCTCTGCTCTACAGAAATGTAGAATCTCCAGTTTGAGCCAGGGCTCTTAGGGATACAGGCTCCCTGGTGCTGAGCCAGTAAACAGAAGGGCTGTCAGCTGGGATCATGGATGTCCTGGGATGTGCTTCTAGGGTGCATGGCTTGGGGGCAGGCTCCTCATACATACTACCCTGGCTAGGAGACTCCAGGGCTTCCAGGCTCCTGAACCAATTAGCCATTCGTATTGCCTGACTGCTAAACAAGGGAACCCAGAAGTCCCTAGACACAGTGCATGGAAGAGCTGCCCCAGAGTTGCAGACCTTAAGAGCTCCAGCAGCTGCTGACTGAAATAGACATTCCTGTTACTGTCATTGCTGCTATTGAATACTACTGAATAGCTATATGAAATCTACAAGAATGTCAATTGCAGACAGCCCCAGCTTGTCCTGGGGAGCATATTTTCTTGCAGAAACACCATGTGTTGGTATTACTGAAAAAAACCTTTTGGGGAGTTTCAAAAAAATGTTTCATTCTGACTAATTTTTAAATTTCCCATAAATTGGAAATCACAAGTCCGTCAGCTCTACTTGTGTGTTTGTTTTCTCTCTCCCCCACTACTCCCTATTAAGGTGCTTACGGCCCACAGCTGCAGGAGCAACAGGGACACTGGCAGCTTTCTTCTGGTGGATTGCTTTGAAGTTCTTGGTCTCTACCCTCTCCTCTTGTTTGGACATAGCAGCAGGAGGCTGAAGAGCAGGCTCTGGCTTCCCTGGGGACTGAAATCTGTGAGTTTTTATTTAATAATACCTCAGTACTATAGTGGCTGACTGTTTAAATGATAGGATAGACAAAAGTTAGTCAAACTGTTCATTATGCCTTTTTACAGGCTAACAAATGCATGAACTCATCCTGACCTATTTTAATGACTCACTTGTCAAACTGAATGAATAATTATCAGACTATTTGTTTGTCTATGGTCACCTAAGAAACACTTTTGCTCTGATTTCTCACAAACCAGAAATCCCCAAAAGTTTTTGTTTAAAACAGAAGAATAGCAAAGAAGTTGTGTGCTACCCAGTATAAATCTTCAGGCTAATATGGTGCCACAAATCATTGAGAACTTTACTGGGCATTTTTATTAACAAATGAGTTTAACAGTTCTACCAGACTTATTAAAAACCTGTTCCAAGTAGTGCAAATGTTCACTTACAACTTTATAAAATAAATGCCTTTGCCATTCCATTCCATTATGTTTTCATAGTCTCCACATCAATTTTAAAAACTGGTCAAGATTTTAAGGGGGGGTGGGGGGAGGAGGAGAATACAGACACCTTCTTGAAACAAAAACATTTATTGCAGTGAAAATAAGACATTATATACAAAAAGAAAAACATTCCCTGTATGTACAATGAAATACCACATGTTCAGTGTGAGCAGGACCTCTTCTAGGCTACTGCTTATGGATGGGACCACTAGACTAGGGTTTAGCTTTAACTAGAGATGGGCCCAAGATGCATTTTCTAATCTCAACCCTCACCGATGCAATTTTGTTTCAGATCATTAAAGGGAAGGGATTAACAACCATGAAATTTAGATCCAGCTTTAGGTTCAAATTTCAACCCCCCAATCCTAAATTTCAGTACTGTTCAGATCCAGGATTCAGGCATGTCGCTCATTTAACCTGAACATGCATCTGGATTGTGAAGTAAGTTGTCAGTACAGCACACCAGAAGGCATGAAGCGTCAAGGTTGAGGGGAGTGGTTTGTTCCCTGGGCACCATATTGAAAATGCACCTTTTTATATCACAATAAGTTTTAGCGTCTCATTCTTAGTTATAACCCAACCGCAAAGAAACATAACTGCAGGAGTGCTATGCAAAGGTATCTTAAAGTTTAATTTTGCATCCACGCTGATTCTGCTATTCTTCTCAACTAGACTAGATTACGGGGGCCCAAAACAGAAGGGGAGGATTGGTGTAACAGAGCAATATCCCAGCTATGCCCCCTTTCCCTGCTCCAGCAGGGAGGGAAAGTGGTGCAACTTTACAGTGCCTGAGGGCCACCAAAGTCATCTTTAAAGACAGATTGTGCAGCATCCAGTGATCACACTACTCCACAAGATCTGGCTCATTGACTATGGCATTACGAAGCACCCACCAACTGTTCATGGGCTGTTAAAAGTTGATTTCCAGCTTGACACTTAAGCCATGAGTCCTTACCCCTGGCATTGAAATTGAGGATAACCCAACAATCTGGTGAAGTGTTCTCCCACAGCAGCTGTGGAGCGCTAAAAACATTTGGAAGAAGTGTTTTTCTTCACAGGAGTCTCACCCAGCTGTCTAAGTTAGGAAGGTAAGTAGCTCTCACCATGACTAAACTGTAATATGCATTGGAAAAGTGGCGAGGAGGGGTCTGTTGGCACTTGTGGGCCTCTGAACTACCACCTTGATTAAAAAAACTAACTTCATTGTTCAGTGGGTATTAAATCAGGTGGGAAGATGTTACTGTTTAGTATTAAATACTAAAGATGTGAACATCCCTGAGCTTGGAGTTCAAACCTGGATCCAGATCCAAATTTCATGCTGGTACCTTCTTTAATAAGCTGTACAAAACCCATAGGAACTTTTGAGGGTTCAAAATACAGGTCCAAATTTTTATTGGAAGCACATCTTTATATAATATCTGCCCTGAAAAACAATTTTTTTTAAGTAACTAAACTACTTTCCAGATTTAAAGACTTAACATTAGGTTTCCCCTAAGCCAGAAGTGAGGTCACTGACATCTGAGGAGGCAAAACTATAAAATATATTGACTAGTAAATACTACACTATCTGACTCAGAGCTAGTGGTTGACTAATGTATTATTCAAATATGTCAGCTGAATTTTATCTGGTATTCAGTTGGCTTTAGTTTGAATGATGGATGCATACAATTCTAAGACGAGAAATTCAGTGCCAAAGGAATAAAAAACAAGAATGGTGTCATAAGTAGTCTCGTAGCACAATTAAGCCATTATGAAAATAACCAATCATAGGGAACAAAATAACTAAACTATAGAAGCAAAAATAAAAATTCTCTACATTTAAAATAATTTAGGATGATAGAGTTAGTAATGTAATATTGTAGAAATGTTCTGTAAAGGCAGGGAGGGGGTCTAGCCCTTGTTTGCCCCAGTCTGGCACTGGGAGAGAAGCAGAACACATACGCATTCTAGTATTTCTTTTGGTGGCAACCACTAAGTAGTGCCATCTCCCCAAGCTGACATGTGGCAGTTGAAAGCCAACAACATTGAATTCTTTTGTTTTAAAAGCAATTAAAGTGTCATGAGAGCTGCAAGCTGAACCTTATTAAGTACATGACTATTTATTTTTGTTGGTGAGCAACAAACAAGGGTAAATCAGCCAGCCGTACAAAACAAATTCTCTAGCAAGATAAAATACATTTTGTCTGGGATTATTATTGGGCCATATCAAAATAATGCCAGTATCCTCCTATAAACCTCTCACCTGCAACCCAAATATTTCCCCCCACTAATACTTTACTTTTGAAACAGGAAAACACCAAAGTAACATGAAAAACTTGTATTTCATTTTAATTTTTTCTTTGCACACCAAGCAAAAAATCTTCGAGATGAGAAAATACATGCACAAACTTTCACTGTCCAGTTCAGGAAATGCTTTTTCCCCAATTAAAATGAGTAAAAAAGTGAATTTTCATGACCTCTGGTTGCCGTCATAACTGTACTCAGAAAAGCCAGATAAACATTCTTATAGTTAATCATTCATTTAGAAAACATCTGCATCCAACCAGCAGTGTTTAATATCCATACAACATAAAGACTATATGTAACTTTGCAGTTTTGTGTGTGCCCTGTTACTAGGGCAACAAGGTCATCTTCCACTTCTACTGGCTTCAATTTTTTTTTAAAGCAGCTTCCTGAAATGAAAAAAAAACAGACAAATAGTGATTACGTTTTTCTCTAGACTTTGTTTCAAAGCTCAAAATAGGGCAACCCTTCTTACTTTCCAGCTGTGGAAAATTTAAAAGATGTTCATTTTAAATACAGGCCATAGTTATTACAAATTAAAGGAATTTCAGCGTTTGAAATGCCTGACTTGTTGGTCCCACAACATTTTGCTTCTGGAGCTGACAGATTTTTACTTTTAATCTATTCCCCTGAAATATTTTACTCCCAATATTCTTGAATTACAGCTGTTTTAAACATTCAGATAGCTAAAATAGCACTAATGTAACTGGTAGAAATTCATTATCTATTAACTGCTTGCATCAGTTCTCAATCATTGTAAGCCCTCTTATTTGTTTAACTATACTGATTAGAAATCTATTGTACCTTTATGAAGATTAAAAACTCCTGCAGTAATAAGTTGAATTGCAAGTTTTAGGGTAGTAGTAGATTATCAGTGTAGTACTTGCTTTCCTGGAATTTCCATAGTTATAGCAGCTTTTGTGGGTCTGTTATCTACTAGTTTTTGATGTGGACCAGAAAGTACTATTTAGAACACATTTATAGAAACCCTAAAATATGATTATTAAAATAAATTTAGCGAGAGTTACAGATAGGAATCAGTAGGTCGCTCTATACTAGAAGCGGCTGAAAGTAATCTAATAGAATTTTGAGTAGCAGGCCTTGAGTCCTCGAAGCTGTGGAGACTGAGTTCATAGGTTAACATGACAGGTTTATAATTTTATGGCACCCATGATTCCAGATAATACTCTCTACCAGTGACTACAAGTGTTGAGGAGTAACAGCCGTGTTAGTCTGTATTCCAAAAAGAAAAGGAGTACTTGTGGCACCTTAGAGACTAACCAATTTATTTGAGCATGAGCTTCCGTGAGCTACAGCTCACTTCATCGGATGCATACCGTGGAAACTGCAGAAGACATTATATACACAGAGACCATGAAACAATACCTCCTCCCACCCCACTCTCCTGCTGGTAATAGCTTATCAAAACTTCCCCAAGGTACAAAATATTCCACCCTTTGTCCTTGGATTGGCCGCTACTACCACCACCAAACTAATACTGGTTACTGGGGAAGAACTGTTTGGACACGTCTTTCCCCCCAAAATACTTCCCAAAACCTTGCACCCCACTTCCTGGACAAGGTTTGGTAAAAAGCCTCACCAATTTGCCTAGGTGACTACAGACCCAGACCCTTGGATCTTAAGAACAATGAACAATCCTCCCAACACTTGCACCCCCCCTTTCTTGGGAAATGTTGGATAAAAAGCCTCATCAATTTGCATAGGTGACCACAGACCCAAACCCTTGGATCTGAGAACAATGAAAAAGCATTCAGTTTTCTTACAAGAAGACTTTTTAATAAAAATAGAAGTAAATAGAAATAAAGAAATCCCCCCTGTAAAATCAGGATGGTAGATATCTTACAGGGTAATTAGATTCAAAACATAGAGAACCCCTCTAGGCAAAACCTTAAGTTACAAAAAAGATACACAGACAGAAATAGTTATTCTATTCAGCACAGTTCTTTTCTCAACCATTTAAAGAAATCATAATCTAACACATACCTAGCTAGATTACTTACTAAAAGTTCTAAGACTCCATTCCTGGTCTATCCCCAGCAAAGACAGCAGGAGAGTGGGGCAGGAGGAGGTATTGTTTCATGGTCTCTGTGTATATAATGTCTTCTGCAGTTTCCACGGTATGCGTCCGATGAAGTGAGCTGTAGCTCATGAAAGCTCATGCTCAAATAAATTGGTTAGTCTCTAAGATGCCACAAGTACTCCTTTTCTTTTTACAAGTGTTGAGTTCTTCAGATTCAACACTGTAATGAACTAGAGGAGGATAAACTGGTAACATTTGCTTGTCTGACAGTTTTCCAACTCCAGTTTTGAAGAGAAACTACTGAATATTAAACAGAGATACTGGAAAGGCTCTGTTTGCCTGTGTTTTATGAAACAGACTATTATTTCATGTCAGATGTCTCTCTGGTACCCATGTGCTGCTGTTGCCTGATCTACTTTTTTCAGAAATGACTAATGTTTTTGGATGCGCAACTTGACACCTCGGAGAGACTTAAATCTTGGATGCTGCGCTCCCAAAATCACTAGCCAGTCCTGAAAATTTAGGCTTTTGTGCAGATACAGGCAAGAGGCCTGGCTTCACCATTCCCTTTCCATGAAGGATCTCTGCCTCTAACAGTTGTTTTTCTGGGAGCCTCATTCTTTGAGTCATCTCAGGAAATTGCAATGGTCAGAGTAAACAGCTGAACTAGAGGGAAATTCTTCCTCTGATCCATATATGCAGATTAAATGTACATTTGCAACAAACCAGTTCAATGGGCATTATGCACAATATGTTCTGCAGTGTGGTTCGATAACTAGTATTTTACACTGGGACAGCAAGTATATTATTGATTTAATCATTTCTTCTTAGGAATAAAAACAAACTTTTAAAGCTGTTTGTGTTTGTCAAGGACTATTCCCCCATTAGTACATTGTTTTACTCACCTTAGATATAAGCAAAAAGAAAAGGAGTACTTGTGGCACCTTAGAGACTAACAAATTTATTCTCACGAAAGCTTACGCTCAAATAAATTGGTTAGTCTCTAAGGTGCCACAAGTCCTCCTTTTCTTTTTGCGAATGCAGACTAACACGGCTGCTACTCTTAAACCTTAGATATAAGGTCTCACATACCAATGGCTACTTGCAGGGGGGAAGAGGCCAATGTTTATCTGTTTTGAGTATATTGTTAGTTCACGGGCCAAGTAATAAAGCAAGCTCTATTTACAGTAATACAATTAATAGATTGCTGGTTACTGAAAGGTATTTAGGTGAAACATTATGAACTGCCAGAATGTTATTCAGAGAACACATTTCACTTACATTTGATGTTGTTTAACGAACTCTGCAAACTGCCGATCTTTGGCATAAAGCTCTATAATCCGTATTCTGTCCTGGATTTCCTGTAGTACAAGACACACAATATTATTACAAGAACCAAAATAAAGCGCACAGCTCTAAATACTAAAAAATAACACTGAAAAGTTGGACCAGTTTTACTTCGCATTACAGCTGACTAGTGTACTTTCCTAGTCAAGGAACAAACACTGGAATTGGGCACATTTTATAAATGATTGAGCATGTATAGCTTTCATCATAAATAATTTGCAGAACACTTTAAAAGGGGATTCTAGTCATTCTTTTCTCATTAAAATTGGAGCAACTCTTCAAAATTAGTGTACGTCTGCTAATATAGATAGAAGCTATTAATACAATTTAGTAAAAGTCAAGAGATTATTAATGGAGAAAATGACACAGCAAAATCTGTTACCCTCAAAAGAGGATACCGTTGTGTGTGTACACAAACAGAATGTCCAATAATGTGGGTCTGACTCATCTTTATCAGTAACTATGTAGACTTCAGTGTAATTATTCATAATTCACAGCAGTGAAAGTGAGAGAATATTATGCCCTTCATTGATAGAGACTATAGGAATGACAGCTGTAGTTTATACAATACTTATGACTGACCTACAAACCACTTATACTACTGAAAAATACAGCTTTAAAAAAACCCCTCACCGCTGTGGGTCACTGAAAGTATATTCCATTCGGTATGTTCTTTTAAACATGACAAAAACAGCTCTTTCTATGGTGTGTATATATATGCTTAAATTGGTCAACACTATTGGTAATCCAAGATGATGTTAAAAATGGCTGTAGCTTTATAATTTTAGACTTCTGAAAGTTCCATACAGATTTAAAAACGGGGGGAAATTAAAGTAAAATTAATTTTACTCAAACAAACATAGAAAAGTAAGTATTTCAGCTCAAGGCCTCAACAATAAAATCAGCCTCCATCCTGGGACCTGCTCTCTCCCACATTTAATTATAACTATTACTGTTACAGAGCACCTTTTGAGATCTACGGATGAATACTGTACAGAGGGACATTAGTAGCATTTCCATCGTAGACCCCATTTCCCCATCTGTACAATACCAATAATGTAACTTGCTCAAGGCTTCAGGGCCAGATTGCTGGCACAACTGAGACTAGAACCCTCATCTGCAGACTCCCAGAGCAGCATCCTAGCTGCTAGCTCCACTTTGTCTGTCTACTTATAAATGTGGAAATGGGCCAACACTCCCAAACTTTGCAGAAGATTCTATTAAGAACTGAACACTTAAAAGCATGTGCGCATCCTTGGAAGAGAGATTCTAGCTATTTGACAGCTCTGAAAGAAGGCACTGCTTCCTCCAGGGATGGAGCTGGCAGCCAAGACAAGTGGCTTTTTGAGAGGACACCAACTTAAAAAAAATTGTCAAGTTGGGTGCCTCTGCTAGGACAGGAATAGCTTTAACTGAAGCTCCATAAGAATATCAAACTATTTAAAAGTGCAGCTGTTCAACCATGGGGAAACTCTTTACAGGCCAGAATCTAGCTCTACCTGTGTGTACACAAAGGAGGCAAGAAGCCATCTCCCTCTCAAACATCTGCACAGGGTGCAGCCACAAGTCTAGTACTTGTATTCTGAGCACAAGGGCTGGGGGGAGTTACCAGCAGTTTTAAAATACCTCACAAGGCTCGGTCATAATTCCACCACCTGGCACTGCGGGAAGCAAAGCTACAAAGTCACCCACCTCCTTTGTGAGCTCACTATGCTCATAAATGTGCCTTATCTCTTCACTGCTGTAGTCTGTGGACGTCTCTGCACTGGTAGAGCTGTATGAGGTGAGCTGTGGGTATCTCCGATAGTAGTGGCTGTACCCAGTGGTATCACTCTCATACATAGGGTTGTACTTCACTGCATTCTCAATGGAGGAGAGGCTATCACCCTGCCTGTGAGAGAGAAAAACAAAATACAGAGGTCAAGTATTGAGGTCTTTCAGAGTGCTCTTCAAAACATAGATCAATAGATCTTCAGGGTATTCTAGGCAACAGCTGTGGAGTTCAACTCATGTCCCTCTGGATTAGTGAGGCCATGGGAGAAGTGGGCTTGCTGTCTGTGTAGACTGCCACTGACTCCTTTTGGGGGTAGGCCGCTAGCATCCTTAACAAAGCTATTGTAAGGCCTCTGCTCAAAAAAACATTGTTTTGACAAATTTGTCAGCTAATGACCTGCATCCAATTTCCCTTTGTGAAGGGAGCTTCAGAAGTCTGTGGTGAGGTAACTTGGAAGTCCAATGATTTCTTTGACCTCAGTCAATCTAGTTTCAGGCCTGAAAGTCAAAGGAGGACTTTGACTTACGCAGGAGGTGATGATGGTTTATCTCATCCTAGGAATGGATGAAGATCAGCTTTTCATGCTGTCTTTGATGTTGTTGACACATCTGCAGTCCCTATCAGGAGCAGATGGGGTGGATGGCCCTGCGTGGTTACATTTTCTTCTCTACAAGAAATCCCACAACGTGGTTTTTGGACAGTTGCTCACAGGATCTTTGGGTTTGCTCATACAAGTTCAGGGCAAACCCATCCCTCTTGTGCAGATGAAGCAGTTAGAAGGGTAAGTGAGGCATAGAGGCTTTGGGTTCTGCAATAAACTGATGACATCAGCTCCATATCTTCTGCCTTATCTTACCTCATTTGGTGCTTTGGACACACTTACCCAGTGTTTGTATGCAAATTGGGCTTGGAGGAAAGCTAGCAGGCTGAAGTTAAATCCTCACTTGTAGCAATGTTGGCAGGTTAGAAAATCTGGGGGAGATTATACCTGCAACCCTTGAGTGCATCCACCTTTTGTTACTCAGGTTTGTAATTTGGGGTTCGTGTTAGACCTGTAGCTTCTGGTCAATAGTGCTCTAGAACTTTAAATGCTCTACATACCCTAATGAGTCCTCAGTGTCACTTTTTGAGTACTGGTCTCGAAGGGTCCTGGCCAGGAAGAAAATTACAGCAGATGCCACAAGAAGGAAGCCAGCCACTGAAGCAATTGCGATACCCACAACCAATGGCTCTGAGACATACTCTTCACAGTGCTCTCCTCTGTACCACCAGTTCTCACCTACACGACATCTGTAATCCCCCACACCAGCAAAAAAACAAGGAAACAAGAAAGTTAACTACTGATACTAAGAGATCAATGGAAAAAATCAGACACTTTACTACTATAGCCTTCTTCAATATTTCCTAAGCATTAAACTTCCAGTTGCTGACATGCCAATTAAGGTTGTTTAAGAATTTTACGGGAGCGCCGTTTAGCAATTATAGTGGGATATCTTTTGTAGGGAATTTTAAATGTTAATTATTAGTTGACAAAAGTGTGGTATGTGTGTATATTACAGATGATCTCATTAAATCTATAACACACATTATGGTTAAAAGATAGTTTTTTAAAATGTGTATTTAATTTCTCTGATGTTGGTTGTAACTCTTATGTAAGTAAAGTATGGATCCTAATTGCTGAGACCTTAATACTTATTGCAAGTGATTTTTTTTCTAGTCAAATAATAATTAGTATGTTAATTTCCTTTTTATTGCATCAGCTCTTCCTACCCAACCCCCTGCTTTGAAATTCGTGTTTATTTTTTTTTAAATATTGTCATGGTTTCCTAGAAGAAAATTACATATTTTTAATATGTAGCAAGAACACTGGAATTTGGTTGAGGAGCAAAAATTATGATGGGCCTAGTTCTCCTCATACAGTTTGAATAAATCAGAGTAATTCCACTAAAGTACTTAGACTTACACCAGAATCAGCCCTCAAAAGCCTCTGGTACCAAAAATGTACTAAATATCTAGCCTTCATCGTCCTATTGTTCATTTTTCTAGTCACTCTCAATTGCCTGGATAATGGTGTAGGTTATCATACCAGCATAGACTGCCTGTCAGAGGAGGCCAGTGTCTTTCAAAAACTGAAAATAAATGCTTGAACCACAAACGGCTTTGTTTGTTCTGGACTTTGATAACTTGTACAGGGTGTTTCCCCCCATTTTGATATTTGTTCATATTGGTTTCTCCTCTATTGGGAGTACCATTTTTAACTCAGGTATATTGGATTTGCCTTACAAATTTGAATTTTATAAAACAATCAACAAAGTGACGTTTTATGATGATTTGTAGCATTTTACCACATGAAAATATCAAACAGTGGATTGAGTGTTAATCATTAGGGTCCTCTGTCATTACACTCAACATTATGCCTTGTTGTGTTTTGTTGTTTTGGCTTTTTGGGGGGACAGGGATATAGAATAGGGAAACAAGGTTGGTACTTCCTGTTTCTGGAAGCCACTAAGACAAAGGATAACATACCTACATATGGCCCCTTGTCCTGGGATTATGTCGCACTTCCCATCATTTTGGCAAAAGTCTGGTTGTAGGTCACAGATGCTATTACAGGGCAATCCTTCAATGCTTAGATAGCCAGGATAACAAACACACTCTGCCTCACCACTCCAGCGATTTACTAAGCATTCGGAGAACTCATTGCAAGCCTGGAACTTGCAAGGATCAGCTTGATCTCCTGAGGACAGAGAATGTAGACAACAGATTGGATAGTTTTTAGCTACCTGGTCTGCTCTGTGTCAATGAGCATTGTAACCTACCACACTGAAATCAACCAAGGAGATAATTCAAGACTCCTGGTCATTCTTAGTACAAATATAGCATTGATCTGAAAGAGCTTTGCCAAAGAGCATATGTAGTGTTAACCTCTTTGTACCCCACTTTCCCATCTATAATATAGGGATAAGTGACTTGCCCAAGGCTAGACAGTGAGTCAGTGGAAGAGCTGAGCATACAACTTAGGTCTCCTGCTCCCCATTTTAGTTCCCTAGCCACTGGACTATGCTGCCTCTTTCATGCTTTCCATCATTGGCACTTTTGCCATTTCTGAAAGTTACTCTCTGCTTAAAATACAGCTGAACTCCAGCACTATCCATTATAGAAGAGCTGTATTACAGCCCTGAGGAGAGCGTACTGAGGTTTGTATGTATCCTTGCAGTACGCACAGTGTACTAGAAGAGCCTGCACTTTCTTTGATGCCTCATCTATCACCACATCCCACTGAAATCTGACCCATACAATGAAACTAATTGTTAAGGACAATTTAAAAATCAATATTGAAGATTTTCTAACCAAATTAGATCTCTCCCCCTCTCTGTTGGGAGACCAGCTACTTCAACGCAGTAGTCACCATTTGCCAATACATATCACAGTTATTTCCTGTTTTTAGTATAGGGGAAAATATTTCTCTGTTACTAATCTATGCTAACTATTGGCAAATGCTGACTCTTTAATTGCAAGCATTGTAAGGTATCTCCTGGAGATCTTGTTTTTGCACAAATATCTCTGGAAATAGAGGAAGAGAAATATAGAAAACAGATTTTTTTCCCCCCCTTAACCAGAGGAATTGATTAACAGAGGGTCTTTTTCACTATTACTGAGATCAGACCCAGAATTCCAGAGTAAAGATTCACCCTCTTTTGGGAATTAGATTAAAGACTCAAGAATGGCCAGAAGATAGAAGTCCAACTTGGAGTCAGTCTACAGTGTAAGTTATGTAATATTAGAAAGTGACCTGAGGAGTCATGATCATTAATGTTTGTTATAGTGAACCAGGAGCAGCTGCCAGGACATTAACCCCGTCTACACAGTGTGTTGATGCCATGACTCAATGTTGTGTTCCAACAGGAAGCAATTTCCCAGTATATATACACCCTTGAATGAGTTATTTCTGGGGGGAAGGATCTTTCTGCCTACGAAGAGCTGCATGGAAGAGTCCAGCCAAATGGGGGAGCCAGGAACACCAGCATGCTAGAGGGAGGGAGGGGAGACTGGGAAAAACAGGGACCAAATTCTATCTTCTAACTTTCCCTCTGCCTGCAACCACAGTGAAGTTGGTGGAGTCGCATAGGATGTAAGTCAGCACCAAACATGGCCCCAAATTTCTCTAGGAGGCCGTAAAGTTTTGGTGGATGTTGGTCCCATTTTACCTTAATCTGTCCTGCTAAACAGATTGGTTTTCAAAGTTTTAAAAACTCTGCTGACACCAAGACTGAGAAGAGTGATGGTGCTCTTCTCTAAGGCTCTGAGAAAGTCTGCTCAGGTTTTGAGCCCCAAGCATATTTGACTCGGCAGACGCTACTCACTGCATTGGCAGCACTCCCACACTGTCATTACCTGATTCCACGTCCAAGGAGTACTTGTCAATGGCCAGGTTCATGGTCTGGTAAGCAGTGTTGCAGAAGTCTTCCAGAATTACGTAGACCGCATTCGTGACATTACGAGGCACAGGTTTTTCAAACTTCATGCGGCTGTTCACCACAATACTGCCATTCCTGAAGTTCAGGATTTCGAGATTCTGGAAACCTGTTAGATTGGACTGGAGGTAGGGAACCAGCTGCAATGTAGGAAACACAATATCTGTACTGCTGTATAAATGCGATAGAAGATCTATTTCTGAATCTAGTTCCAGGCCAATTGTAATGCTATTACATCACACACAGAGACTAGATATTTTGTCCCAATCACATTCAAAAAAAGGTATCAAAACTGTACCCAGCTGAGGCCCTACTGGCAGCTTATCAGGAGCCTGAGAGATTCACAGAATTTCCATAATATAGAGCAAATCACTGCAGGCTCCCTGTTCTATAATAGAAATGCATCCCACTGGATGCAGTGCTCCATCTGGATCCAAGCAAGCTCATACTGCATAACAGGACTTAACGCTTTGGGTATCACCCTTCATACATTTGGCTACTCCAGCCAAACTATTGATTTTCAGCTTAAAAACTGATAATTACTCCTGTGGCATTCTGCCACCCATTGGCTATTTAAGAGATCAGTAGATCCACAGGCAGTTTAACTCACTGAGCTACAGATTTAATAAAATAGTTGCTTTAAATAAAAAGCATCTTAAAACAGGTGAGAGCATCCAGTAACATATCACTCTGCACTCCCAATTATTTTACTTTTCACCCATTGATAGAGCAAATGAAGACACTGTTTGGAAATGTGTGAACACAAAGGGCCAGTGGAGCCAATTAAAATACATGATTTACAGCAGCCAAGCGTCTGTCTCAGTGTTACTAAGTATTTAAGAGACTTATTTTTGCCTTGGTAAATCTGTCCCACACAAGTGGGACGTCAAAATTTGAGACACAAATATTCAAATAAAAGCGTTACATTTTCCAGCCAAATTCTCCCACTATCATAAATATGAGTTACTCACAACTTGTGGGATGTACTAGGCTGCTGTAATTTTGTTGCAAACAATTTCTCTCTCTCTCTCTCTGTCTCTTCCCCCCTTTTGCTCACATGCATGGTAAGAAAAGGTTTTAACTGAGGGCTTATAGTAGCTGCTAGTAACATATTCATTATAAAGTGAATCTTACCAGTTCTAAGAATCGTTGCTCCAGTGCCTTATATTCTGGGGAATTTTTATTGAATAGGTCCTCTGAAAACATCATGTTGGTAACACGGAGGCTAAAGAATACCACTAAAGCTCGTGAGGACGTGGTAGTATTGCGATTTGCATGCGTGGGCCAAGCTATGCTGGCCATCTCTGTGGAGTGAACATTGGTAGATACCTCCATGCGACTATCAGTCATACTTCTTTCTTCCAGGTTCATCTCATGAGGATACAACATTGTGCCCACATGATCCAGCACTCTTGTAGTCATGTCCTCCCCCAGTTTTATTGAGCTAACTGTATATTGTGTAGTAGGGAAACTGGACAGGGAACCAATAGGATTCTTTGTTATAGTCACTGTTGCAAAAGAACCCACTGCCATATTTAAGCTACTAGGGGAACTAGTTTCATGGTCTGTACTAGACTGTCCAGTGAAATCCTCTGAACCAGTCGGCAGCTCCAGTAAATAAGGAGCTATCGTTGAAACTTCAACCTTACTCGGTGCTTCAGATTGCATGTCTTGTTCTGCAGGTTTCTCAGATGCCCTTTCAGTGTTGTGAGTAGGCCAAATATTTATTGGTTTCACAGCAAGTGATCCAGAAGCTTCTTGAGTTGTCAAGTGCAAATCTGGAATTTGCTGCTCCTCCATGAAAATGTCAGTGACTATATTTTCCATCATAGGAGTTGCTGTCAGGACTGTTTCTGGCTTGAGGAGCCCAGTCCATGAGGAATCCATGTCTTGGTGTCCTATTGTAACAGCTACACCTGATTGGACTATTGTGGATAGTTCTTCTGGCTTTGTCCCTTCCTTGTTTTGGTTTCCTACTGCTTCATAAATGATTTGATGATCCTCACTGGACTCTTCAGCTTGTTTAACATTGAATGTCTCTGTAGATGTAAGGAGATGACCTTCTATAGAGATATCTTTTTCATGTGGTGAGATGGAGGTCTGTTCATCTGCCATATCTAAAGAAGAATAGTCCACTGAGGGCTCATATGCAAAGGATGAAGAATAATCAGACATGCCTGATGCCTCTAATGTTTGCATGGACAGTTCCACATTCAAGGTTTCTTGTGTCCATAACATAGGCACCTGCTGAGTTGCAGTTTCTGAAAGTCCAGGTACATTTGATTCAGAGTCATCAGTGAAATCCCCTCTTGCATTGGTCATGCCTCCATCCTCAGGATTACCATTTAATTTCTCTATAGAATCAATTATATAATCCAGGATCTGTCCCTCAGGAGTATCCTGTGCTCTGATTAACAGAGAATCATTTTTATCTTTCAGCCAGCTTTCAGGAAGACTGTAGAAAACTGGCTCTAATGTTGCTATGCCCCATGGCCATGCCTCTTGACCTGAAGCATCAAATGCTGATCCAGATCCATCCTCATAAATAATTTCTCCTCCTGGATACAGATCGGGTTGCAGAGGGTTCACCTCTAGATAAACTTCTCCGTCCTCCAGGCTGTCACGGGATATAGAGTCTATGTCAATGGGCATGGCTTCTCTTGCCTTCTCTGCAGAGATCACTCCCTCATTATTAGGCTCTGTTTCTGATGTAGAGGCCATTGTTGGTATAGAAGTCGGAGGAACCACAGAAATGACTGTGGATGGCATTTCTTTTGGTGCAAGATGAGGGTATAGACTGGAAGGCAGAAGAAAGCCTTCCGACACTCCAGCATCTTCAAACACAAAGTCAACAATTTTCATTTAGTTGTGTTGTGACTTATGTAATTTTAGCTTGCCAGACTCTATTTCTCTTATATCCCCAAGGATCAGTAACTCTGTTTTTCCCCATTAAATACCTTGATCTGCTTACATGCCAAAGTTAGAAGTATCTATTGCAGATTTATCTACTGCTGTATCCAGCTAAAACTACTTGGCAGTGTTTCTGTGAAATGGAACAACAGGGATCATGCATATACCATTAATCTCTTTAGGGACAAATAGGCCTTATTAGTTGCTATAAACATTTAAACTTAGAAGTTGGTTCTTTTTAGTCACACCTGACTGAATACATAGGAGTTTCTAGGAAGTTGTTTTGGAGGGCTCTGGCTCCTGAGCACAAGGTAACATTGTTACCTAGACTTAAACTTTAGTAAATGAAGTGAAGTAACTTACCATCTTTGAAAGAAGCAGGGATAGACAGCCATTCCTGAGAGTCCACAGGAGAGCCATTTTCTAATATTGATGGGGTGACAGAAGGAAGAGTCAGGCTCCCTTCCTCTAGACTCATCCCACCAGGAGAAGAAGTGAGGACAGCCTTTGGTGTTGAATTCATGTTGTTCTCAAAGTCCAGGTTTTCTGATCTTAACCACATTTCATTGCTATTGGACTGTTCACTATCAAAGGTGAAACCTGATTTGGTGAAATCAAGTGGCAAGATATTGCTTGCAGTTGTTGCTTCTGCAGAGGGCCACTCAGCTAAAAGGGCATTATCCTGAAAGACAAATCCATAATAACCTATTATTGTGTGACTTGTGTCTGCATATGGACTGCACACAATATGCTAAGTAGTACAGTAATTGTTAACTAGTAGCAGCTTCTGCCTGGTGGGCTTCTGTTTCTCTGATTAGAGGATAACATGCACTATCAAGAGGTTCCAAACTGTAAGGATGACCTACATTTTAAGTCAGCCCACGTTCATTCCAAAGGATAGGATCATATACAGATTCTTTAGAGGAGAACAGCAGCATTCCTTTAAAAATGATATTCAATAGCAGTGGGATACTATGGATTAGAATGTGCACCACTTATGCCCATCTGTTTTCCTTTTACCAACTGAAAGAATTTACTGATGTGTTATAAATAAGGTTACAATTTTGTCACAGTAATTTTTAGTAAAAGTCAGGGACAGGTCATGGGCAATAAACAAAAATTCACGGAAGCCCAGGACCTCTCCCTGACTTTTACTAAAAATTACTGTGACAAAATGGGCCAGACAGGGGATGAGAGCCCAAGCCCTGCTGCGTGAGGGGTGCCGGGCTCCCTGCCACTTGTGGCAGATGGGACCTATAGGAGCCCCGTGGCAGATGGGAGCTCCAATCCCGCCGCCCCGAGGCTGAAGTGGAAAATGTCACAGAAGTCTCTGAATTAATAAATTCCATGACATAATCTAATCCTTAGTTATAAACCAGTAATATTCAATTAAATTTTTTCACAGGTCAGATAAAGCAACTTCCGTATCTTGGTAAGCTAAAAGGCTCTCTCTAGGGTCACAGGGCTCTCCAGGTGTTTGCTCTCTAGGGAGCCTGCCAAGGATTGCAGTCGTTCAAAAGTGGTGTGCCGGATTGTATTTATTAATCTCATAATAACAGGCTAAGCATGCCAGTAGACAATATTCCAGTGAAAACTTGCAAAGAAATAATTATACAAATACATTGCAATGCTATTAAAACAGTATGCTATTCATATTAATTCTATTAAAACTATTAATTTAAAACTGGAAATTAAACTCTCAAGATATTCAGTGAATGGACATCTTATTTCCCTCCCTTATAGCCTGATATTTTGATAGCTGCTCTGTGGGGTTTTATTTTTTTTTGTTTTTTTTCCTGAAAAACTACTGTGCAGGACGCAATCAAGTTAACTGATGAAAGCACATCAATTACTGATTGCTTTACGTTACGTAGGCACCTGCTTAAAAGTGTACCCCTGTAAATCAAAATGTAGCACCAAAATCTAGCTTCAGTGTGTTTAAATAGAAATTAAAAGTTTATAAATTAAATACACGGCGTGATAATAGAGGGAAAATAAATGGAGGTGTATCTGCCCAGCCCCCATCAGTTCTGCCCTCTAGCTCTTCCATCTGCCCAGCACCCTAATCCCCCCATTAAGTTCTTGCCTCTAGCCCTCCCCCCCCCAATTATCTGTGGCCTTCCCAGCCTCATCTCTGCTCTTACTGGGATTCTTCACCAACCCTCACATCCCAGGCTGGGGGGAGGCTGCAGCAGGGTACCCCTCCCCCTTCTGAGGTGTGAGGGGAAGGCTCCACTGGTTCTTCACCTCCTTCCCTCCCCTTTCTCACATTGGGTATTACAGGGAGGGAACAGGGAGTGGAGCCTCCCTGAGCAGCAAGGCTCTTTCTGCTCCCTCCTTCCCCTGCCCCTCTTGTGCGCTGGGAAGGCTCCCCTCCTACTCCCCCCACCCTTCCTACAAGAATAGGCTTGGCTCCTGAGAGGTGGGGAAGGAAGCTCGGCTGCTGCTTCCCAGCAGCCACGAAGGATCAGCTGACGCTCAGTGGCGGGTGGGCGGGCGGGCCCCATGGGTTGGATGTGGGCCACGGGCCACCAATTAAAGAACAATGTTATAAGCTACCCATCAGCTGCCTCAAGCACCCCTGACTCTAGTACAGAAACCCATCCGTCCCCTTGGAGTTCATAGGCATATCTGGGTAACACCACAAACTTTTTTAAAAAAGCCTGTTAAACCAATGGAATCTATAATAAGAGGAAGAATGCTTAGAACTTACATAGTCCTTTTCATCTGCAAGCTGAGTGAAATGCAGAAAGTAAACAAAGAACATACACGATGAAAAACAAATTTGATTTCAAAGCTTCTCTCTTTCTTTCCTACATTATACTAGTGTGTGGGCATCATAACCATCATAGTGCTTAGCACTTTTCATCCTCAAAAGTTAATCTATCCACACAGTACCTCCTGAGAGATAGGGTAGGTATTGTCTCCATTTTGCACATAGAGAAACCAATGCAGAGAGATTAACTTCACCAAGACCATAGAGGGGGTCAGCATGTCATAACTATGACTAGAACTGAGGAGCCTGGCTTCCAGTCCTTGGCACAGAAAAATAAACCAAGTGGGCAATGGGCACACCAGTGCTCATTCCCCTAGCATGAATACTCATCAAAGACTCATTTAAGCTCAAATTGTCAAATTCAAATTGCATCTTTGGTTGTAAAACTTGCAGTCTGCAAAGTGTGAGCCTCTATCCTGCAATGTGATTCACTAGTGCAGGCCCTTGGACTGCACCAAGGAGAGGGGTCCATGCTTGCAAATTACACTGCAGGACACGTTAGTTACAGAATTCGTCCAATAAGGAAATAGAAACAATACCCTATGATTTATGTAATGAACCTATAGGAGTGTGAATTGTGAACACTCACAGTGGACTCTTCACAGTCTACACCAAAGAATTATTCTGAAGTAATTTGCAAATGATGAATAAATCTGAGAATTTAATTACCTGTGCTTGAACAATTTGTGAACAAGGCAAAAAATATGTGAATTTCACAGAATAAGCTCTTTTCTTGTGAATTATTTGCAGTGCTCTTTTATGACTAGCCGTTATTCCACTCCTGATATCTTTGTAGGCGGTTTTCATTTTAGCAATTACAAGCGACCAATGAATTGAAATTAATATATATGAGTTATGTGCTTCAGGAGCAAAAATCACCAATGCGTGTAAAACTATCAGGGTTTGTTTTGTTTTTTTGCAAGATTAGCGAAATAAGTATTAAAAAGAACAAACATAAGAACTGGTGTCAATAACTTTTCAATGCAAAATTTTTAAATGTTAGCACACCAGTGCCAGGAATTGCACTTCATCATTTATTTAATGTGGAGAGGTGTTCCTATGACAACTAATGCATTTCAAAGATTCTTGTTATGGTGCAATGTTTTATTAACAAGTTTAATATTAGAGTGGCAAGTTCTGTTTTTGCCAATATCGTTTGAATGGCTTACTAATATGACAGATCATTGCAAAAAGAAAAAAATCCCAATTTCCCATTTCTCTCTGCCAGAAAGACATTACCTTCAATAATCCAGCCTGTTACAACAACAACAAAGTCTGGTTTAAATCCTATCTGCAGGATTTGAGAGAGATACAGCGACGAGGATTTGTAAAATTTAAAGAGGTGGATCTAGAGTTAATTGATATCTGCTACTGATCAGTTTGTGAAGTCAGGATAGTCCCACACAAATATGATGAATTAAAATACAGTCCTTAAAATTTTAACCATTTCTTCAGAAGGGCTAATACAAAATATAGCAGGACTCATTTTCTCACTGGCACTTAATTTCTCCCATATTGCTTTAGCTGTGAAGAACAGATATTGCAACTGAGCCATTAAAAAAATTCAGCCTTGTTTTCTGTTTGTAATCTGTCCATAAGCAGTTTGATTTGTTATTCAAATGGTTTCCTAAATAATTTCTTTATTGTTGATTGCACATAGCAGCTCGCTGCAAGTATTCAACATCTAAAATTGAAGCTCTTGACTGGAAATGTAGGTCACATGCTATTGTTTCTATTCCTTGAAAGGATAAACAAAGCTATTGGAATCAGGTTTCTGGGTGCAAATACTTGCTTTTACAAGTTCATAATTGACTTCCAGAAAATATTCTCAAAAATCCAGTTAAAGTGAATTGCCACAAACTTTCCTATCAATAAATTCATTTGCTAGAATATCTGCAGAAAGTGAACATAGAAGGGATGTAAGCATAGCTAAAGTTATTTCTTTTATTAATGTAGTATGGAACATTTTTAAGCTACTCACTCATCTCTAGTAAATATACAATATAGAAAACCAGTCTCTATATAAATTAGTCAATATATTCATGCTGTTCACCATAATCAATCTGTTATGGCAATTCCCATGTAAATGTCTAGGTTGCATAGGGATATTTTTGAAGTTTTTATTCAGCCAAAGATTCCCACTAACAGGGATACTACACATGTTAATATACTGTATATTAATATAATGTACATCATAAGATACACTCATATGAAGCCAATGGGAGTTCTACTTGAGTGAGGACTTCAGGGACTTGGCCTGAAATTTAAGTGTGTCCAGGCTCACAAAACTATCTGCATAATGGGCCAGATAAAAACCTAGATTGTATCACCACCAAATTCAGGGATGTTCAGAAGCTGGGTCTGAATTTTGTAGCTTAATTTCAGCTTCTCTCAGTATGTATATAGTCAGATGTTGCCTTAAACGCCTTCAACTTTGGAGCAAGCTTGGATGTATAAAAATGAAACTATTGGCCAATATTTGTCTAGATTTCCTTTGCTGTTACTGAGATGTAGGTTTGTTTTTATAAAGAACTGAGCACTGCACTTCTCAGTGATAGCAGTACAGCTGCAAAGGAGGAACAGGAGTTCTATTTTAATCTAATCTCTTCCATGGGCAAAATTTCCCCTCACATCTACCTCTTTTGTTCCAAGAAAAGGCCCAAATGATTCTCTTCAGTTGTGAGGGCCATCATTTCCCTATGAAGCCACACAATCAAAACATTACAAGAAACCAAAAGGGAATCCTAAAATGAAGAAGTGGTTAGACAGGCTATAACAAGAACACAGTACTGGCTTGTACGGAAAAGAACAGATCAGGTTCTATTGCAGGAGGCGTGTCACTCTCCTAAGACCAAATATTTCCCAAAAGGAAGACTTGCAAAACAGAGCTCTCTCATCAGACTGTATAGCTCCATATTGTGTGTATTTCTGAGCATTCATTCTATATTTCAAACATGGCAGGGAACTGTGTTTTTGGATTCTGACCATACTTCCACCGTGTAGAGTTAAACTATTTGGTTGTGTTTGTAAGTAGGCAGCTGGAGGACAAATTAGTCTCACTAGAATGAGAATGCAGTGCAGAAATGTACTTACGTCATCAACTTCTGGAGACTCAAGAACAACTGGATTTTCAGTAATCCTGGATGTGTCTTCAGGTGCAGGGGAGAGCACTTCTTTCACTGTGAAAATAAAAAATGAGTTGTAAAATCACAGTTCATATGGAATGTTTATTGTAGTTTATATGATGCCAACTGTGTTTTATTGTCTCTTTTTTCCCCAAATGCTGTCACAGCTGCGGGTGCCTGAAAATAATTAAAAGCAGAGGATAAGAAAACATTCAGAATTTGAAGGTGTACACTGTCCAATTTATCATCCCAATTTGCCCTTAGAGAATTACTGTGAAAAGTTGCACTAGCACTGGAAGGAAGTTGTTTGTAGAAGCAACAGGGTACTCTGGACTAAAACCCTCACTCATTTTTCCTCTTTCCATCTCATATTTGCTTCCAGGATCTTCTCAAAGTGCTCACCAGAATGATTGAGCGTCTGGAATGCCTTTTATCAGTCACACTTGAAGCAAAGATAGAGGAAGGATAACGACCGGAGATAGATAATTTCCACTGGCAACAGGGAGGACATCGAGAAGACAGCACTTACCAGGCGCTGGTCTGTGCTGCCAGGGTCCAACTCAGCACTACTAGGCTGAAATTCATCCTAGTACAGAGGGCCCTATGCATCATTTGAGCCCCATTTAAGTGGCACATTGGGCCTTCTGCACTGAGCTGAATTTCACTCTTACAGAATGTCATCAGCATCATCCTGCTGTAAGAGGATATACAATAATATACAAAGTATATATTTTGGGTGGAATTTGTATTTCATTTTAGTTACTGACATATGATTGAACCCATCAATACATACCTTAAAAATTATACATCGCAATGTTAAATTAATTTAAGAGAGGCTAATCTGGTGGGTTAGGGATAGGATGCTACCACTGCTGATCTGCTTTGATTTTGATAAAATCAGGAGAAAAGGAGGAGCCCTGAGGACCATACCACTGCATATAACTTCCTCCTTTTGAGAGAGGAGCTCCTAATCCCCCACACCACATCCTTCATCTTTTTTAAACATAAATTCTGATTAACAGACCACAGCATTTCTTAAGTAATACACACCATTAATGAGCTGGAGAGAGTCAGGGTCCAAGGTCAAAGAGACATTTTCAAGGAAAGAGTTCTTTTGAAGGATTTCAGCAATATAAGTTCTGAAGTCACTGATTGTGTAAACAACAGTTGGGTTATCCTCAAGTTCTACGAGGGAGTTGTCCTCCACTTTGTTGGACTGAAGGTTAATAAGGTCCCAGGTGGCATTGCTGATGGCTTCCCCAACAAACGTGACAGCGTAGTGAACCTCCACACCACTGTGGTTTTATAAAGAAAAAAGAAAATATAGATCAGAGCTAAACAGTTGGCCAGCTATATCATGCATTCTGGTTGTTTGAGGAGCCAGGTCTCACACTTAGAAAAGATACAACAGTTTAAAGGGGGTCTTTAGTAAAAATATATTTAATTGTTTTTATGTTTGTCTATCTCTGTAAAATGTATCACAGATGGAGCAAAATCTTCAGAGAGTGCACCACCCAAATTCAAAATCTCATATTTCCAACATCATGACAAGCCCAAATATTTGGCTTTATATCATAGTCATTAATAGGGCCAACCAATATCCAGAAGTGGAAATACCATGCGTGAAGAGACCAGGTTTTTACAAGACCTTGTCAACCCCATGAATGGCTTTGAGACATGGAATCAGCCTGGGAAAATGTAAACAAGCACAAAATATAAAAATTTGAGTGTCCTTGATCATCCCCAGTGGACAAGTTTTGCAATTTAAACCTGTTTTAAATGGTGCTCTTGATAGATCTAAAGATGTGTTTATATTATATGCCCAGAAGAGTGCCTATTTATAAGAATGTAGTTGCTCTCATTTATTTTTATTAAGAAGTTTTTGTTTTGTAAATTTGTACAGCTGAATTATTTGTACCAGTCCTACCCTATTTTCTGAATTTTCTTCTCATGAGCACACTTGGATTTACCTCCCCACAAGACAGTGCAGTAATCAGAGTTACCATACACAGAGCGTAAGCACTAGGGAGCTTTAGTTAGTGTTTCACACTTTGACTGTACAAAGTGCATAATCAGAAAGTGAGGTGGTCTATGAAGCACCAGGAAACCCTGCTCCAAAGATAGGTTTTCCTCCTGCCGTAGAGCTGGAATGCATCCCTAATCAATGGCTGGGCTTAGTGAGGCCTACAGAGCTAAGTTCAGTTCAGATGTAAGCAGCAAATGCGGCTGCACTAAAACCACAACTCTGCTGGAGTTTTGCTGTTGCCACCTTGGCTGAATTTCACCCACTGTAGGCACATTCTGGGCATAAGTATCACTCTGGGGAATGGAAACAGAGCACAACAATGAAAAGACAGGGCAAAAATCAGAACCCAATATGCTGGACAACAATAATATCTGGATTTAATAAAGCCATGCTGTCAGTTGCAGCTATTAAATGCAATTAATAACTACGGTCATCCACCTGAAACGGGCCCCAACATCTGTTCCTTGGAGCAGAGTGTCTCTGAATAGATTCTTGTGCATCCTTTCTTGCAGAAGTGCATGGGAGTAAGGGGATGGCTTTAATACTCTGCTGTTTCGACAGAGTTTTTTCTTTTCAATCCCTTCTTCTAAAATCAAATACTGCTTCTCTATAAGATTGTTTATGGAAACCAGCTTTTATGTTAAGATGTGTATTAGAGGGAATTTATATTTGACCTTTAATGGATTAGGAGCCCACAGTTCATTGACTTTTTGTCAGGTAAGTTCCCAAAAAGGTATCAAAGAGAGCGTTATTTGAAGTCCGTATTAATTGGCAATTACTTCAAAATTCTTCAAATAAATAAGGGCTTCAAAGAGCGCTCTCTCTTTGATTGCATTTTAGGAAATCTCTAACAAAAGATCAATAAACTGTGGGCTCCTAATCCATCAAAGGTCAAGTATTAATTCCCTCTAAAATGTGTGTGTGTGTGTATATACACACAGACACACACACACACAGCACCTCAACAGATTTTGAGGTACTTAATACGGGCTTCAAAGAGCGCTCTTTGATACCTTGACACACAAACACACACTAAATACACAGAAACATTCCCCAAACAGCCCCAGTCTGATCTCTCCTTCCAGCTGAAGAAGGTTGATTACAACTTCCACTGAGGTTCACATCCACATTGGCCTTCAAACACTTAAATGGGGTTTGCTTGAGATGTACCATTGTCTTAATTTATTTGGCTTTATACGGTCATAAAAAAGAGATACCTATCAATGGCTCTAGGTGCCCTACCACAAATTGCAATGCAAAACCAGTAAACAGCAGTTAAGCAATTTTATTTGCTTTAAACTAGAGATTCCTACAAAAAAATTTTAACTCACTAACTGATTCATGTTTAGGCAGAGTTTGCTATGTAACTCTTTCTGATTACTAGTTAAATAAGAAAATTGGATTAGACTATCTGTAGCCTAAAACAGGTCAGCTACTTGTAGTTTTAAGTAAATCTACAGCAAGGGATAATATTTTTACTGGATGTATCCTTAATTCATAACCACACTGTCATAATAACTGGTAGTCTCATGCAATTAGCAAGCCTGTCTAAATTTACACGACGACAATTTACATATGTTGCCTTTACCTGTCATCGTCAGGAGAGCTAAAATTTAAAAAAAGAAATAAATATGTTAAATGAGAAACAGTTTTGTCATTCCATTTAAGTCTTCTAGTTCAGCGGTTCTCAAACTGTGGGTCGTGACCCCGTTTTAATGGGGTCACCAAGGCTAGAGTTAGACATGCCTATGTCTGGGGCTGAAGCCCAAGCCTCACCGCCCAGGGCCAAAGCCAAAGCGCAAGGGCTTCAGCCCTGGGTGGGGGGGGCTCAGGTTACAGGCCCTCAGCCTGGGGCTGAAGCCCCTGGGTTTTGGTTTTGGCCCCCACACCTGGGGCAGCGGTGCCCGGGCAGGCGTAGGTTTCGGTCCCCCCTCTTGGGGTCGTGTAGTAATTTTTGTTGTCAGAAGGGGGTCGCGGTGCAAGGAAGTTTCAGAACCTATGTTCTAGTTTATTCCTTATAGTGACAGCTCTGACATGCTATAGAACAGGCAAATTTGAAAATAAATCAAATTAAATAGCTTACAAGTAAAAAATGTTATTCTGCTATACAAGGGACCAAATTCTGGTTTCACTCAACTCAATGGGAGATTCACTACTGGCTTCAATGGGACTAAAAGTTGTTCTAAGTCAGTGCAGTTGTGCTAGCATATATCAGGGGGGAAAACAGGCACAATAATGTTACTTACGGCTAGTTTACAAACATATTTACTTATCAGAAAGTAGTAGGATATCCTTGCCAGAACAAGCAGCCTTTTCGGAGTGCTACACGTCGCCGTGAAAGGCAAACTGTGTCTACGGTGCGGCATTAGCTACATGCAGCAGTGAAAGTCTGGCAGCTCCCCGAGCCTTTCCCTGCTGCCTCCCCAGTGCCAGAGTCTTTTGCTGTGATGGGGAAAGGCTCCAGCAGCAGGGAGGCAGTGTAGACAGGGGAAGCGCTGCTTGGGCATGTAAAGAGACAGCTGTGTAGGCAGGGCGTATACTCTAGGCTTCTGGCATGTTTTTACTCTACATGCCTAAGCAGTGCACACACGGCTGCTTATACCCGTGCTAGGGGTGTGTGCAGTGTACGTACTCTGCACGCTGCTGGGACTGATAGGAGGTATTGGAATGGCATTAATGGAGATGGAAGCCATTTCTCTACAGAACTGGTGTTACATACGCTGAGACCGTGCAGGCTTTTCTACGCTGCCACACCTGTGTGTTTTGATTCTGACTTCTGCTAAAAGTGGGAACTGAAAGGGCTGTTTCCATGCTCCTGCAAAGCTTAAGTTTCCCTTGCAGAGACTGCGAACAAGGATAAATATTAGGGAGAATATGATGTGGCCATTTATGAACTATGAACCATTTTATGAGACCACCACTTCATTTTGCGCACCTAAAGATCAACTAATAGTTGCCAATTATTAACAAACCACTACACACTGGGCTAGATTGGAATTTGTCACTACACAAACGGGCAAATCCTACCAAAAACAGGCCCACAGATAACCTTTTAAATGTTTTATTATTTCATTCTGTATCAGCTTTTCTGTGGCACTCATAACCACAGCATTTGAACACCATCACAAACCCCCTCCCGCTAAGGTAAAGAAGTGTTATCCTTGTACACACGGGGAACTGAGGCACAGAGAGGGTGCGTGACTTGGCTCAAGATAATCACAACAAGTCTGTGCAGAGCTGAGAACTGAATCCAGATTTCCTGATTCCCAGTCTGGTGCTCCAACCACAAAAGTATCCTTTGTCCCTTGCCATTTTTGCTTCCGGTGAGTATTGTAGCAGCTGAGTTTATTGGCAGGAATATTCAGAGAAATACTGACTTATAAATCAACTAGTGCAAAATGTTAAGGCAGATAAATTTCAGATTCATACTCCTGTGTATTCACATCAGAAACCTAATCCTAAAAGTTATACTCAAGCCAATCAGGAAACAGAAACATGTCATGTGACCTGTGCATCCAATCAAACCAGCTCAAATCTCAATTTCAAGTACTTGCTACAAATCTCTTGGAAACAATATTTACAAAACAAATGGACTCGAATCATTCTGAAAAACAAATAAATTGGAGAAACTCAGTCTTTTCACAGAATATTCATGAACAGAAAGACATGCAAAATACGTCAAATAAACAATTTGTTACAAATTATTCATCTATGTCTCTTTGTGACTTAGAAGTGAAATGTTATATATTTCATCATTAACCTTCTGAGCCATCCAGTCTTCCCTAACAGACTGGATAAAAAGTTAAGTACACTCAAAGTTTTCCCAAGAGTGTTTGGATTCCTCTGCATTTAATACTAACCTGTATCAAATTATGAACATTTGAGAATCTTGGAGAATTATCAAATGGCAAAAGACATGTTTATTGTATTTAAATCCTAGGACAAAGAAACAGGGGCAGACATCATGAGAGAGGCTTTGACTGACTTCATGGGCAGAAGAAAGAAACAGCTGATCAAATTTGTCCTCTGCAGCAGTGATCAATAAAAGTTGTGTAGGTCAGTTATGAGAACACTGATGTTAGGTTTGTATGCCTTTATAAATCTATTTACCTGAATTCCAGCACATGGATATTATTGTATCCAGGTAATCCTTCAAATGCATTTTTTACCTATTTGAAAAAAAAGCCAGAGAGATAAATGTGTTTTATGAAATATTTGCAGCGTTGTATAAAATGATGAGTTATCTATTTATAATAGAAAAGGGCATAGGATATCATCGAACTTTTTATCTGTATATAAAATGAGCTGAGATGGCATCTCTTTCTTGTTACAAAAACAGAAGGAAATTGTGAGTATACCCAGCACCTATAGGAAATCTACAGACATATGACTGTACACAGAGAGAAGGGAACTACAAATCTGAATGATCACAATAGAGCTCTCTGGCATCTTAATTCTGTAGTGGCCTTTCAACAGATATGCATGAGGTTAAAACACAATCAGATTTTATATGAGCCCATTTAACTGACGGTCTCCACAGCTCCTGACAGCAATGCACCCATACACTACTATCCTGCTTAGCCAACTCAAATCTTTCCCCCCAACCAAAGGTTATGATTGCCTCTAAAATTCTTCGGATTAAATGTAGGACAGATTAAGACAAAAGTCTTAGGATCTAGGACACATTATAGCAGATCCCAAGACACAGCAATGAGTCAGCGAACCAGGTGCTAGTGCAGAACACAACCAATTGCTACTGGGCTAGCTAGGCTGCTTTAACTGGGTGGAATTATCTAGGGTTCGGGAGGGGAAGAAAGATAACAATCCACCGGGTGAGGGTGAAGCTAGGAGGGGAAACATGCGGGTGGTAAAGTGCTGGTGTGTCCAGGCCTAATTAAAGAGGGGACTGTGCTGCAATAGTGGGCCACAAATAGGAGAAACCACCAGTAATTGGGTTCATGTTGGAACAGAAAATCCCTGTGATCTGTCATCACAAGATTTTTTACTCTCCAGATTCCACCCCCCAGACCTGTTTTTAAACAGTCTCTGGTGAGCCTTAAACTATCCCAAGTGCTGCTGATTTTCAAAGGCTTGTGTGTCCAAGCACAGAGAGAAATAGGCAGGGGATCAAAGGAACGGAACATCCAGATGCCAGGTGGCCCCTATTCCATCTGACATTTCTTCCACATACACTAGGGCACTACTATTTGGCCACACAGCTAGGAAAATTAAGACGTCTGACCTAAACTGGCCATACGTGACAGTTGTGGTGACACCCTTTGGCTTAAGGATAGAGTCCATCTATTTCCCACCTAACTCAGAATCTGGCATAGAGTTAGCCCCAGTATAATGGATTCAACAGACTTTGCCAAGAAGAGCTCCAACTAATAAGACTGAAAAGGGAATAAAGCTAGAGAAAAGAATGCCATTATTGTTGGTTATTTTATAGCACACAAAGTTGTGCTGGGTGTCTTACCTAATACAAAAGAAAGACAAGGTCCCTGCTCCAAAGGGCTTATGGTCAAAATGTGGACATGTCAATGAGTATGGGTGAGAAACAGGGAGATGGGGCGAGGAAGGTCCAGAGTTACAGTGATATGATCACACAGACGCTCAGTTTTGGTGCACACACATATATCGATGGCCCAATAATGATTTTTTATTTTTTTTAAAAAAACAGCTCTAGGACAGCAAATATTATGGACCCACGAGTTGTGGGAATTGCAGAAGGGGTGCATTTTCAGAAGGATTTAAGACCCTGATTCAGCAGCCCTTCCTTATTCAGCAAAACACTTTTGAGCTTAATTTCCATTTACTTCAATGGGATTTAAACATGTGCTTGAGTACTTTGATGAAGAGGAATAGATTTAGACGGGTTCTTAAATGCTCTGCTGAGCGAGGGCCTAAGTGAGCAGTGAGTATGGGCTTGGTGGCTCAGGTTACAAATGGTGTATTACATGTAAGGGGTGTCCACCCATTCAGGAAATGTTGCTGCTCCCAGGCAGTACTGAGTAGTGCTCTGTTGTTTTGTGACCATCATTCACTCTCTTTAAAAGAATTCACTGCCGTGAAGGTAGTTGCTTTTACCGTCATCTGAAGGTTCACTCCACTTCTTAAGATTATTGAAATTAAGCTGGGAAGTCTTTCTGCTTTAGCAGTTGGGACTCAATATTCTCACGTATTCTGGATCTTAAAACTGACCAAAAATTTAGAGAGCTATGGGGTGAATTTAGGTAGGCCATTCAGTAACAAGGAAGCATTAAAATTTTAAACAGCCTTTCCAAGCCCTGAAGTTTTATTAAGATCAGATGGAATTCCATCACGAGACAATGAGAATCTTGACACTTCTTGAAGCCCTGTCTCACAACCCTATTGGTGAGTCACTGAAATATTCAGAAAGAATAGGGCCAAACTTAGTCCTGGATAAGCAGCTGTGTAAACTGGCAGAGTGATGCAACAGAACAAAAGGCAGTTGCTATCAGCCAAGCCTTTTCCACCAAGCAATAATGTTTTTATAATAATAAAGCAAAATGCATTAGTAAAAGCAGAAAAGGAAACCGAGAACTTCCCAACTCAGGCTTCAACTGAGTCCCTCTGCCCCACTGTATGGAGCCCATCCTTCACAAAAGCACCTTCCCATCTCTACCTGCAAAAAAGCCAAATTATAGTCCTGTATGAAGAGATGGAGAAGCTCAACTAGATTAATCCCTAGTCAACAAGAACCAGGCTGTGCCCCTGTACACTGTCCATAGGACACAACTCCACGACTGCAGGAGCTGTTGGGCTGGCACTCTCTCAGGCATTTCATAAAGCATAATTTTGGGGAGTTCTAGTATAAAGGGAAAATCCCATAGTGCTGTGCTGACAACATATGGTGAGTGTATGCCCCAGCATTCTCACTGAGTTAGAGTCTGGGTCTCAGAGCAGCAGCACTGGTTTACCATTCAAAGCAGAGCAGGCTGTCGTAGATCAGGACAGCAAGGATATTTGAGGCATCACATTTTTAATGACTGGAGAGTGAGGTGATAGGCATTTCCCAGCATGCCTCAGGCAGCAAAATACCTAGCTAGCTCAGGAGAACCACGTAAGGAAAAGCTGTCCCTAACACGGCTGCCACATAGAATCATAGAATATCAGGGTTGGAAGGGACCTCAGGAGGTCATCTAGTCCAACCCCCTGCTCAAAGCAGGACCAATCCCCAATTAAATCATCCCAGCCAGGGCTTTGTCAAGCCTGACCTTAAAAACTTCTAAGGAAGGAGATTCTACCACCTCCCTAGGTAATGCATTCCACTGTTTCACCACCCTCCTAGTGAAGAAGTTTTTCCTAATATCCAACCTAAACCTCCCGCACTGCAACTTGAGACCATTACTCCTTGTCCTGTCCTCTTCTACCACTGAGAATAGTCTAGAACCATCCTCTCTGGAACCACCTCTCAGGTAGTTGAAAGCAGCTATCAAATCCCCTCTCTCTTCTCTTCTGCAGACTAAACAATCCCAGTTCCCTCAGCCTCTCCTCATAAGTCATGTGTTCCAGACCCCTAATCATTTTTGTTGCCCTTCGCTGGACTCTCTCCAATTTATCCACATTCTTCTTGTAGTGCGGGGCCCAAAACTGGACACAGTACTCCAGATGAGGCCTCACCAATGTCGAATAGAGGGGAATGATCACGTCCCTCGATCTGCTCGCTATGCCCCTTCTTATACATCCCAAAATGCCATTGGCCTTCTTGGCAACAAGGGCACACTGCTGACTCATATCCAGCTTCTCGTCCACTGTCACCCCTAGGTCCTTTTCCGCAGAACTGCTGCCTAGCCATTCGGTCCCTAGTCTGTAGCTGTGCATTGGGTTCTTCCGTCCTAAGTGCAGGACCCTGCACTTATCCTTATTGAACCTCATCAGATTTCTTTTGGCCCAATCCTCCAATTTGTCTAGGTCCCTCTGTATCCTATCCCTGCCCTCCAGCGTATCAACCACTCCTCCCAGTTTAGTATCATCCGCAAATTTGCTGAGAGTGCAATCCACACCATCCTCCAGATCATTTATGAAGATATTGAACAAAACCGGCCCCAGGACCGACCCCTGGGGCACTCCACTTGACACCGGCTGCCAACTAGACATTCTATCATTGCTACCGGGAGCTTGTGGGAAAAAGATCAGAGAAGGTAAATTACCTGGGAAATAAATTGTTCTGAGAGTAGCTGATGCTGCATGGTGGATGGGTCACTCAATTCCTCAGTGTATTTCTCTCCCAAAATAAGGATTCTGAACTCAACCATCTGGTCAGGAACAGGTTTCATCAGCTTCCCATCCTCCTTCTTGATCTCATTGTTGATCTGGAAAAAAGAAAACAATGGGATTTAGTGACCTGTATGATTTGCTCTTGGTTATTTTTTATATGAAGCTCAATCCTTGGGCCATTCTACACTTTGTGGGTTTTATCCATGCAGAGGGCAGGACACACACAAGTTTCCTATTTGTTTATGGCGTCATTTTGCGGGCAAGTATCCCCCCTTTTCCCTCAGTGAAATAGGATGGGATTCAGCTTCTGTAACCAAAGGATCTCATGAGATATGCATGGATATTGAGTGATCTGCAGATACCCAATTGTATCCCCTTTGATCTGGAGAGCTGCACTGTAATTTTTGAAGCAACCCTGGTGCCAATGGCTGATGCCTCAGAAGGCTGTGCTGCCGGGGAATTTGCGGGCATTACTGCTGATTCAGGAAGCAAGCAATATCCAATCAAACTTCACCTAAAATATGCAGGGTTAGCAGGGCAGTGTGCCGTGAAGAACAGTTGCTTCTTAGCTCTGCTTCACTGTGACCCTACCTATCAGCCCCAGCCCGAAATTTTTTGTTATTGTAAGGTCAGGCTTCCCACAGGGCCCCAGGGGGAACATGCCACAGAATCAGTCCTTCCTCCCTTCATGCGCCCCAGCCAAGGTCAACTTAGACTGTAAGGCCAGAAGGGACCATCATGATCACCTAGACTGACCTGCCCACTGTAGGCTACAAGACTTCACCCACCCACTCCTGTAACAAACCCCTAACCTCTGGCTCAGTTATTGAAGTCCTCAAATCATGGTTTAAGATATCAAGTTACAGAGAATGCACAGGTTATTCTAATTTAAACCTGCAAGTGACCCATGTCCCAGGCTGCAGAAGATGAAACTCCCCTCTCACCCCCCAGGGTCTTTGCCAATTTGACTCAGGGAAAATTCCTTACCAGCCCCAAATATGAGGATCAGTTAGACCTGGGCATGTGGACAAGACCCAGCCAGCCAGACACCTGGGAAAGAATTCTCTATAGTAACTCAGAGCCCTCCCCAGCAGGTGTCCCATTACCAGCCGTTGGGGATCTCTGCTGCTAGCGGTCGCAGATCAGTGACATACCATTGTAGGCAGTCTCATCATACCATCCCCTCCATAAGCTTATTAAGCTCAGTCTTGAAGCCAGTTAGGTTTTTTGCCCCTAGTGCTCCCCTTGAAAGGCTGTTCCAGAACTTCACTCCTCAGATAGTTAGAAACCTTCCTCTAATTTCAAGCCTAAACTTGCTGATGACCAGTTGCTATCCATTTGTTCTTGTGTCCACGTTGGTGCTTAACTTAAATAACTCCTCTCCCTCCCTGGTAGTTATCCCTCTGATGTATTTATAGAGAGCAGGCATATCTCCCCTCAGCCTTCATTTGGTTAGGCTAAACCAGTCAAGCTCTTTGAGTCTCCTCTCCTACAGAAGGTTTTCCATTCCTCTGATCATCCTCATAGCCCTTCTCTGCACCTGTTACAGCTTCAATTCATCTTTCTTACACCCAGGAGAACAGAACTGCACCCAAATGAGGTCTCACCAATGTCGTGAATAATGGTACTAACACTTCCCTGTCTCTACTGGAAATACCTCGCCTGATGCATTCTAAGATTGCATTAGCCTGCTGTGGCTCCCCTCTGCTGACAGAAACAGAATGGAGAATATTGCCCTATACTAAGTGTTAATGACGGGGGGGCGGAACCCAGTTGATTTGGAGGCGTTTTTGTTTTTTATTTACAAACCTCTAGGATTACTTTTTTTACGTTTGTATAACTTGAAGATCTTTTTCCTGTTATTTAATTTTTCCCGCAAGGCAGATTAAAATAATAAAAAAAAACAAAACAAAAGAGAGATTTTGTTTAAACTAAAGAGCAGCCTTTGCTGTATCTGACATGAGGGACGGAAACCTTCCCCATCACACCTCCTTCTCCAAAAGATTAACTGCCATCAGCAAGTGCCTTCTATACTGTTTAGAGCTTGTAATGATTTTTAAATGTAATTCTCTCCCTCCAAACCCCCCATTCACAGGCTGCTGATGGTTAAAGGAAAAAAAAAAAGAGAGAGATCTTGTAAACTGTCTTGGGGCTTGGGGCTCCTTAGTGCTCTACAGTGTCCTCCCCCCGTCTCAATTTTGCAGATATCAGTGTTTACACCTTTAGGAGAGGATTTCCATTCCCCTGAGGCTCAGAGTTCTGAAGTCTGATCTTGGACTTCTCCTGGTAAGAAGGGTTCTTGTGTCACTGGGTAACCATCAGTGGTCAGGCTCATTGGTAATAAACCTAAAACTAGCTGGCATCCGACGGCAAATTTACATGTAGTGGACAGCTATTACTACCTGATTGTTTGTGTTTCTGTGCGGTGTGAACCGCTGGCCAGTCACCCAAAAATAAAGGTAAAGGCAGCGTGTAAATATATAAGATGAGAAATGCTGGCTTTTGTTCTTGTAATTTACAATACAGTTTGGGTGCACTGAGTAGTGTTACTTTATAAAAAGAGAAAGCACTGTAGCAGCAGTAATCTAATTTTACATTGCCCTCTGAATTACTGAGTAGTCCCCATCTCTGCTCAGCTACACTTCTAACACAATCCATGCAATTCTTTTATAAAAAGAACAATGGTGTAGGTGGGACCAAACCAGAGGCACTGTCAGTCAGTGATTTAGAACCAGAGCCATGATAAACTCAGGAACCACGTTACAAGGGGTCACGTAAACTTCATATTCAGTGTTTGTTCTTGGTAGTTCAGAGAGTTTCATATTCGAACAGACCTGAAAACTCCAAGAGAAGCTATAGAGTTTGGCTTGGTTTGGATCACAATCATGCTAAACTACTGAGCTTTGCATGATTTTAGCCCAGTACCATAAATTAGCCCAGTTTCAGGAACCTTTCAGTTAATCTAATGAGAGTTTGAAGCTTATAACAAAACCCAAAACAGGCAATTTCACCTCACAGATTTGCACAATTTTCTTCTCTAGTCATGCAAGCCAACAATCTCAGAAGTAGGTGCCTAAAGTTTGGCCCTAATCCATTTTTAGGCACCTAATTAACCAGTGGTCTGTTTTCCAGAAGATCTGAGGCAACCACAGCTCCCAATGACTTCATGGGGAGTTGTAGGTGTTCAGCATCTCTGAAAGCCAGTTCACTTTTACATTGGGTGCTTAAAAAGGAATTTGGGTATCTAACTTTAGGTATTCAAGTTTGGAGAGTTTTGCCTTAGATAGATACCAAGGTGACAGATGCTTATAAATACTACCATCTCAATGAAATCCTTCTATTAGATAGGATTTTCAAAAGTACCAGAATGACTCTGGAGCACAAGGTCACGTGGTCTTCCAATAGGAATTGTGCTCCTAAGTCACACAGGTACTTTTGAAAACCTCACCCAGTGTCCAGTCCTGCAGTACTAGCCAAACACACATTGACTTCTGGGTGGAGTCCATGTTTAGCAATGTGTGGAAGCTTCACTATGAACCCTGTGTGACTGGGAGAATCTCTTTCTGCAGTGAACTAACTTTACGTAATTCATCCCATTGGTTCAGACATTACCTCATCAAGGCATTGCTTTATCAAGTCTCGCCAGTAAATTTCTTAAATCCTGCCGACCCTCAGTAATTACTATCTTTTGTTCGAAACTATTAGAAATCCTGTGGCAGGATCAGAAAAAAAAGGTGAAAGAGACAGGCTGGATTAAGAAGCAATGCAAACCCAAGTAATAGCAGTTACGAAGGGCAAATGAAGAACTACTTACGCTAGCATCTGAATCTTCATTCTTGTTGAAGGTATAATCTGATGGACTCTCAATGGAGACCTCATGAGGGGGTGGGACATTGGCAGCTGCATCTGAGAACAAGAAGAAACTTTTTAAAAAAAATATAATACAAACACCTGTGCACACTTCCTGCTAGACAGTTCAACATACTAAAATATGTTTGCAATTATTCCTGCTCCCACCATCCTGAGAAGAACAAAGCAGATGAATCATTTGATAGGGTATAGAAAAAAATAAATCAAAGATATTATTCAGGACTACACAAAAATCTGATCTGCCTAACAAGGATGTGATACTTTTGAAAGTGTAAAATCACAGATATTAAAAAGCATCCCAAGCCAATTTTAAAATTAGGATCTTTCAAGGTGCATGCAATTGCACGTTAGGCATTGACAGCATCATTATTTGTATTACAGTAGCATCTACAGGACCCTATCAGGATCAGCAGTGACCTCAAGGTTAAAGGATCCATGTCTAATTACCAATCCCAAGCCATCAAGCTCCCCAAGGTGAATGTTGCAATACATTTAAAACATCAGTTTATACAAGCACCTAGATGGATAGAGATAAATATAAGCAGATGAGAACAAGACCTCTTAATGTGGTAGCATCAGCAGCTGGAGAAGGTGTTGGAATTCCAGAGCTGAAAAACAAAAACAGAAACTGGAATAAAAATATGAAATTAAGGGTAAGAATGTGAGAGGGTTTTTTTTTTTTAAAAAATCTAGTTAAGGTTCTATCACCCAGTTTTACCGGAGTATCTATTACCAAATCAAAAGGCACATTTTCAGAATAAATTCTCCAAGCATTACTTTGCTGACAACCTCATAAAAAGCAGATTTTACATTTTAACGATCAGCAGCAATTTGGTAATGAGTCACTTGCATCTGCACAACAGTTATCACACATCTTAGAAAGCTTAGCAACACAAAGCTTGCTTTATATTATGGGCCAGTCCTCCTTGCCTTACTCAGTCTCCTTGGGTATGTTTACTCAGCTGGGAGGGGTGAGTCCCAGCACTCCAGCTAGCATGCTGAAGACAGCAGTGAAAATATTGTGGCATAGGTGGTAGCTTAGACTAGCCACCCAAACTGGGGGTCAGGAAGGCTTGGAATTAGGCAGCTAGTCTGAGCTGCCACCCACATGGCTATTTTTAACGTGCTAGCTCAAGCAGAGCTAGTTCAAGTCTGTCTACCTGCACTGGGAATCACACCTCCCAACTGCACTGCAGATGTACCCATTGACTTTAACGCTGAATTTAGCCAGAGATGAGTGAATAAATATATCAGAAATCAAATTCTGGCCTCAGTTGCACCCGCGCAACCTCACTACAGTCAGTTTTGGTTGCAGGAGTCAAACTGTGCTCATACAGTGATGATGTTGAGTTGCAGCCTCAGCAATGACCAGAATACAACTGTTCTAACTTTCAAAAGAGCAGAACACCCAAAGTTCCCATTGATTTGAAATGGAGCTATGGGTCCTTAGGAGTCCTGAAAATCAAGTCTTATGTTATTCAGACTTTGAACCTGATCCTGCAAGATGCAAAGTGCCTCCGGAGAGAAGCTAAATTCCCTTACTTCCAGCTGACCTGATTTACAAAATTAATTGCATCTAGCCTTTTAATGTCTTTGCAGGAGAAACAAATGAGAACAGCACACAGAGACAACGTGAAGACACCAGCGACAGCCTGTGAGGATCTGCAGATTTAAAAAAATGCCTCTCACAAGGAAGCTAACATAGTGAGACTCAGGAAAAGGTGTCAGTCTTCTCTTTTCTACCACAGCTGAGGAAATAAATAGATAATTGAAATAACGTTGCACGTTTACTGTATGTTGAGTGCTGTAAAGTACAAAAATGAAGATGTATTCCATGCCCACAGATCTTAAAATCTAAGGTCTCAGCTTGCAAGGTGAAGAATGCACCATAGATGTCAGGGGGATTTGAGGGTACTCAAAAATTTTCTGGTATAGACGTTAGAGCCCAAAGAGAGGCCAAAACCCAAGAGGTGCTGAGCACTAGCCACTCCCACTAAAGTCAATGGGAACAAGTACAAGTACAAGGCACTCAGCACCTCTCCAGTTTTGCTCCATTTCATACATCCGTTCTACCTAAGACTGGCAAAAGAGCAAACTTTAGGTAATCCATTGCAGTAAGGGACCTGGGAGGGGCGGGGGGGGGGGATGAGGGTTTGGTTTATTTAATGAACAGATAACTTATACAAATCAGCCAAAAACAAAGGAATTCTGCTGGAAAGACCATTTAAAACACACTGAAGGTTATAACAAAGATCAGAACTGGATTAAAGTCATGGAACGAAAAGGAAGTTGCTCATACGTCTTCCGTCCCAGTGGTTTGCGGTCAAAATTATGTAAAATTCAGCAGCTTCAGCTGAGTTTCATATTCAAATTACTTGGGGGGTTCAAACCCAAAACTTTGGCCAAACATGAAAAACAAAACCACCCCAAACAAAATGAGATGAAAATTTCTCAATGTGAAAGGGAACCAGCAAGTTTTGCTTGGCTCTGGTTGTAAGCCTGAGCGATTTTGGGTCCAACCCTGCAAGCTGCTGAATCTGTACTGAAACTAATGAGAGTTTAGGGTATGCTTAGCATCTCACAGGACCAGCCCCTTAGTGAATACGACAATACTTGATTTGCAGCAAGGTACTTTTTTGGATAAATTCAGCAAATCTTTAAGATTGGGCTTTAAGCTCTGAAGAGACCTAATTCAGTGATCAGTTTAGGAAAATGAGTGTTTATTCGATTGAAATATTTCTTTCAATTGAAGGGAAAAATCTTATTTCATCGGTTGTAATATCTCTACCATAAAATGAACATTGCAGCATGAAGAGTTCATCCTGATATGCTTCTAAGACATAAGATGGTACCGGAGACATTTTTTCTTTATTGTCTTGCTGTTCACAATTTTCAATCAAGAAAATTCCCTTCAACAAGAACATGCTAAAGTTCAAAATTGTGAATTTTAATGCATTTTAATGTTTATTTTGAGAACATCCTTTTTTCCCCCCCATATTGCTTTTAATCCCAAAGATTCTATGACTTACTTGGGGCTTTATCCCGCAGTCTTTACTCCAAAATTCCCCCTGAAGTCAGTGGGTGTTTTTCCCAAATAAAACAAAAAATTGGACCTTAGATCACCCCTCAAAGAATGGCAGAACTCTACACTAAGTCATTATTCCATATAGGCCCTTATTCAGCAAGGTTCTTAAGAACATGAGTAGTCCCAGTGAAGTCATTAAGATTCCTCACATCCTTTAAGTTTATGTTAAATATGTATATTGAAGTATTTTGCTAACTTGAGGTCATAATGGACAATTGTAAAACCTGTGGTTTTTCTCTGTGCCAACCCTCTTCATTGTTCATCCATCTTTCAAACATTTCACAAGAAAAACATTGAGTTCCGATAAGGTTTTTTTAAAAATCAGAACTATAATATACTCTCTAAATTTAGGGGAATCAGAACAATAGTGGGGCTCAAGTACTTGAAAAAGAATTGGTCTTCTTTGCAGCAGCCTGCCTGGAACACCATTTCCCATTTGTTCTATTTAATACCATTTCCGTGGCTGGGCCATCTGCTGCCACTGAACTGGGAATCGTCCTGTGACTTTGGAGACAATGCTGAAAATCCTCCTACACACACACACACACACAAAATGGAGTCTGACTAAATGCTTCAAATTATGCAGCTATACCCTAAGTTGAACTTTAGCAAGATCAAACATGTCTTTGTTCCAACACCGCTGACCTTTGAGTCCTGAGAAGCCCCTGGGTCCACTCACACTAATAATGGAGGAACTAGAAAGTGAAAAATCCTTGGCTTTCTTCCTTTAATTTTTAATGTGTCTAATCCTTTTCCTGGAGAAGATAACCTTAAAAACATAAAACTGATGTGAACAGGTTGCTAATGTTAAAAAACACAAGCAGCTGGGCTTCACCTCTGCAGCAGGAGACTGGAATTACCTAAAGATACATGCGCACGCACACAAAAACACACACGCAATGATGTAAAATGAGTATGTTGAGTTTGCTGTTTATCCCAAGGACTTATCTCGCTAAAGCTTCCCAGTATCCTTAGGCCAGCTCTGTACAGTTGTTGTGACAGTGTTAGCCCAGAAAACATTAAGTTTGGGGAGTGGCAAAAGAATGGTTTCTCATGCCTGTTCAGTAACATCCAGGCTGTCTTTGGATGGCACTTCTTAAAAAATTCCTGCTTAGAAAAGCAGAAAATATTGATTAAACAAGACTTCAAAATATTTTCCTGAGCAGTAAGCCAATGCGTCTCAGAAAAACCCTCAAAAGTGCAGGTTACAGACATGAGATACAGCTGTTTATATTTGCTTCCAAGTCCTGGTATCTGTCACCTGTTTTCAGCAGCAGGACCATCCCCACTAGCTACAAATATAGTAGACGTTATCACTGAAATGATCATCAATCATGTTACAGAAATATCGTGAAATGTTTAAAAGGATCAAATCAATGCACAGCCCAGAGCTGTGGACACCAGCCCACAAAGTGATCTAACAAAGAGATGAAGTTTGTTGAAAGTAGTATAGTCTGGTGATGAGAGCAGTAAGTACAGTGATTTGTGTATCTGTTGATTTTGACTGGTCTTTACAAAAGGAAGAGTTGGACAGATGCCCAGACTAGAGAACATTTCCTGGTAGTGTAGAAGAGGTGTTACTAAAAATACCCTGCCGGTAACAAAGGCAATGATTAAAGACCAAATGCTCTTCTTCTTAACGTGGACAACGGTCCAGGTCTACATAATCTATGGATTTTAAAGGACTTCAGGTCAGATAATTTGCGACTTCTTTTTGGTACATTTAGAATCTCAAGAAAATAAGTGGCAAGATTCCTGACATCTGGAAAGATGCACCTTGTTAGCATACCAAAACTATTCAAACAAAGGCTATAAGATAAGTGATGATTAGAGCTGAAAGAATAATATATAACGTAAGTTAGTCAACAAATTTTGCTTCTTTTTCTGTTCATGCAATGTCAATGAACAATTTGTGATTTTCTTAATTGTAATTAATAAATTTGAATCAATTTTGTTTATTTAGTTGCTTCCTATTCTAAATCTGAAGTCAGAGCTATCTTGTTTCCTGATCAAATACTTCCAATCTATTCAGGTTCTGACTCCCAATGACTTCAAAGGGCATTAGATCAAGTCCACAATCAGGTTTCTTTCTAAGGTACCTGTCACTATAGCATCTAAATGTCATATTTCTGATGCAATGTTCACAGAAAGCAAATTTGAAATTAACTTTCCCAAAGTATTGGATGGAATGTGCAAACCAAAAATTCACTTCCCACAAGTGTTCAAGATAGTGAAACTCATACACAAAAATTCATAGAAAGCAAAGACAAAAGATGTACATTTCCCACTGAAGCACAATCATGCCAGCATAGATTTAAAATAATACTCTGCTCATCTATAATGCTTTCCACTCAAGATGCTCTAAGCCAGCAGTTCTCAAACTGTGGGTCGGGATCCCAAAGTGGGTCGCCACCCCATTTTAATGGGGTCGCCAGGGCTGGCTTAGACTTGTACTCTTGAGGGCATTCTGCACCCAAAAAAATAAAAATTCTGCTCACAAAATTTTAAAATTCTGAAAATTTTATTTGTCAAATAAATTTGGAGGCTCCAGTATGGCATTGGGGAGCACAGGCCACTGGCTGCACAGAGATGGTAGATCACTGTGCAGCTTTCCCCCAGGACACGGACTCAGCAGTGAGGCTATACCCAATCCTGACACAGCGCAAGGACCAGGCTTGCCCCAGAACACCCCAGATTCCTGCCCCTCAGTGCCAGGTGCACGAGGTGTGGGCAGGCAGGTTCAGCAAGGCAGGATCCAAGTGTGGAGGACTTAGTGTGGGGGAGATCCAGGTGTGGGTTGAGAGGGTTCTGTGTGGGGCAATCTGGGTGTGAGTGGCTCAGTGGGGGATCTGGATACATAGGGGCTTGTTGTGGGGTTTTGGGTGCAATGGTAATGGGACTCTGCAGGGGAGTCCAGGTGAAGGTGGCTGGGGCTCAGCGGAGGGAGAGGGTCTGTGTGTGTGGGGATAGAACTTGGCAGGGGAGTCTGGGTGTGTGTGTGGAGGGGCTCGGTGGGGAGTCCAGATGCTGGGGGAGTAGGGCGTGGATCCAGGTGCAGCTGGTTGGGGCTAGGTGGGGTGGTCCAGGTGCAGGGGAAGTTGAGCTTATCAGGTGGGGTTTCTGAGTACGGGGGAGGGGGTCGAGGCTCAGCAGGAGGGTCTGGGTTTGAGGGAGTCTGGATGCACGGGGGTTGGGCAGATACGGGAGCAGCTCCCTCCCCCTGCAGCTGAGGAGTGATGGGTGCAGGAAGTGGGTGGGGAACAGAGTTTGCAGAGCTTCCTGCAACTGAGGGAGAAATCTGGGGGTGGGTCTGACCCAGCTCCAAATGCCGTGCAGGGGAAGAGGAAGTCCTGTCCTCCCCAGCCCAGCCAGGACTAGCAGCTGTGCCTAGTGCAGGGTCGGAGCCACCAGCTGGGTCTTCCCCAGTCCCACCCTCTGCTCCACAGGGATTTACCTCTCTGCCAGCTGCCCTGGGCACCCGAAACATACTGCTGGTGAGGGTCGCATGGCTGCTCTTGTGACTTCCCTTTGGTTCCCCATCAGAAAGTCATTTTTCTGCGGGGAAGCAATGAAATCTGTGGGAGACAAACTCTGTGCATGT